GGGGATGAAGGAGGAAGAAGACTGCTGAAAGTTTGCCTTAGGGAGTCACCAGGCAAGGGGGCACTTTGGGTGCCAGGCCTTGAGGTGCTGCCAGTTAAACCCTGTAAATCCCAGGAGACAAATCCTGGCTCCCCTTAAATGTAAGTGGGTTTTTTTTGTTTGTTTGTTTGTTTTGTTTTGTTTTGTTTTTTTTGCCACTGACTCAAGCAGAGCCAGGATTTTACACCAGGCACCTGGAGAATGGAAACTGCTGGCACCCAAAGGGCTGCTCCTTTCCAGTCTTCTCCTACCTGATTCCAAATGGACTCAAAGCCTGGGGAAGAACAACTGCAGCACTGCAGATGTATTCGTGCTGGAACTTTTAAATTAAATAGACTCGACGTTTCTTGCTACCAGCACATCACAGCCCTGCAGATCTCAGTGCAAAGACAGGAGTCAGTGCGAGGACTTCGCTCACCCTGAGGACTTCGTTCCCGGGCCCGTGGTGCTTTTGGCCACAGGTGGCAGCACAGCTGTGTCCCAGCTCTATTGCAGACACTGTATCTAAACGGTACCTGGCACCCTCGCAAAGGGGCACTTGTCTTGCCAAACGGGTTGCCCCAACCCCTCCATGTCGCTCTCCCACTCACCGAAAGGCACGTGGGTTACTCACAGCCCAGCCACCGGCCTCAGAGCATCAGCTCATGGCTCTCAAGTCACAGCACAGCAGACACTCCTCTGAGCTCCATCCTGCAGCTATTCCTGTTTCTGCTTTGGAAGCCTTCCCATGTCTGTGGCCGGCTCAACCACTTAATGGGGTCCTGGGGTTTTTCCCAAGATGAGGACACTCACTGAAGGCTATTCACCAAGCGAACAGAGAAATCCTGCAGTGATACCCAATACTCGGGGCCGCTGCACTGAAAACCCCATTCATTGTTGCCAAGCCACCAGGGGCAGCCGCACAGCTGCAGTTTTACCTGTTTATTTGTTTATTTAATGAGTAACTGTCACTTTTTAGCTCGGTAATGTCAGATTTCTGCTCCAAAAGGATACACACACACACACACACACACACACACACACACACACACGTGTATACGTTTCCTGCTTGGCAGTCTGAGCCACAGCACAGGTCTGAATGCCCCTCTCAGAAGCACAGAACACCACACAGGCACTGCTGGGGTACCTCAGCTCAAACATCACAGCCCGTATCCATGCACCACTATGAGCCCAGGGGTATCATTTAAGCACCCCTCAAAGAAAAAAAAAGGGCTGGTCATATTTCCATTTGTATTTCATATCTGGGATGCACCACATGTCCTGCATCTGCATTCAGTCCTAGCCTCTACCCAGACTTTTTTAGCTACTCGGAGTTTTCTGAAGCAAATTTATTGGCTTTTGAATTTTGCAGTGCTGAGACTCACGAACAAAAACAGCAGAGTGTTTCTTCTTTTGGCTGCGTGCATAAAAATGCTCTCTGTTTTAAGTTTTGGCCAGAACGCCTGCAAAATGTGGTTGGAAGTTATACTTTCTAACCTGGCTTTTATCATCACTCTCAGGAAGCTGTAAAGAGTAAGCACTTTTAAAGTGAAATCACTTGAGTTCAGTAGTTCTGGAACCTGGCTTTTAGGGTTGGAAATGGCCCTCAAGGGCACAAGGACATTAATGCTTCAAATTTTAAAAGTGTCTGAGCTTTTAGTTCCTGAATCAAGTCGGAGCTAAACGTAACCTGAGTACAGGAAATCTCAGATGCAGAGATAAAGTACATTGGGGAAACTATCAAGCTGGACAGTTGAAGATCAAAGCTCTCACAGTTTGCTATATTGTGTTCTCTGGCCCTGTTCTCTTGTCATGAAATTGAAATTTCACATCAATATCAGCACAACACTGAAGCAAAGGAATTAAGAGCGTGAAAACCAGAAAAATGCTTGTTTCAGGTGGAAAGCCTGATGCCAGCCTTGTCATTTCCCTTAAAGCAGGTGCTGGCCAAATCTGCAGCTTATCATGACATAACCTTAGGTATGTGGAAGAAGAAATGTCAGTTCATATTACACTCTCTAATTAAGAATTCTATACAAGCATTAAGCTTGATGCTGTGTATGACTTGATAATTTTTTTAGCTATCCCTGAATATGCATTAATTCTAGCTTCTCTGTGCAGTGATACGAGCTCTTAACATCAGTGACTCTCTATGTCACTATGAGATGCATTCTGTCCCTGTTAGGTGAATTAAATATTGTCTGCGCCATCTCAAAGTACACACCAGTGTATGGAGAGGGAACTGCATGTACAGAGAATCATAGAACAGCATAGGTTGGAGGGGACCTTAAAGGTCACTGAGCTCCAACCCCTGCCACGGGCAGCTCTGCTGACCATGAGATGAGGCTGCCAGGGCCCCATCCAACTGGCCTTGAATGATAGGGTGCATTACAGCTCTCAGAAGCCTTCCTCTTTACACAGCTCACTGCTGTGAGATCCTGTCTCACACGACGTTAGGCAGCAGGCTTGAAATCTCACAGTAGCCAAACCAAAGTCTGTCAGCCCTTCCTAAATGAATTTACAAGTGGGGAATGGGAGAATGAGATGAATGGCATGGGATGGTTGTGCACGAGTGCAGGGAAGCAACTGAAAATATTTGTGGAGATCTAAGCACACCACCCCAAAAATACACACATACTTTCCACTATTTAAATATCTTGTCTCTGGGTGGAAGCCAAGCATTTTTCTATTTATTTCCACTTATGCCACTGAGATACAAAAGAATTTAATCCCCTCATTCAGTATGTTAAGAAAACAGCAGAAGGCTGAGCATCCTGGAAAAGGACAAGATGTTAGGAGGATGCTAACTCATCGAGCATCCAGTGCTGAAGGAACGAAAGCATTTCCGGTTGCTGCAAGCTCTCACTCTCAAGGGAGACTGAGAAAAGGCTGCATTTGGTCCTTGTAAGAAGCCAAGTTCCGCCTGTGATAAGCATTAGGAACACATGCAGCGATACCTCTTGTTTCCAGCCCTGCTGACAGCTACTTCCAATTTGCATTTCTAAGCGGAATTAGCAGAGGAAGGAGATTTACACATTCCGTGCTGGTGGGGACCATTTGGCTTGAGTTCCTTGCAGAGAGGCTCCTGCAGAAGCCCAAACCTCCCAGTTAACCTTCAGAGGGTGAGAGTAACAGGAGAGCTGACCCTTGGCTGAAGACTGTGGACTCGTGCTAAGGGCAGTCTTGCTTCAGGCCACCAGCTCCCCACGTGCCATTACACGAGTCATGCAGACTCTTGGCCTTACCCATCTTCACAGTGGGGCTGAATCCGTTTTTCTGACTTAAATCACTGCTGTCTGAGCAGAAAAGATTAAGAAAATCTTCACTAGTGATTGACCAGTGAGCCCATCTCATGCAAAAATTGTGCTTCTGGGAGCAAGGCAAAGCACTATAATCACTCCTAAGAAATACGTATCAGTGCTATCATTGTGTCTTGCAGGAAAACAGCTGTTGCAGCTGGAGACCAGTGCTGGTTATGCTCATAGCTACCCTCCGTTCCCCATGTAATTCCTCCACCCATCCTCACCAACTTGCTGCTCATGGCTAGCGCCAAGCTGGTCCTCCTTCCTGATCTGAGATTGCTTTTATGAGGCAAGGCTTGTCACAGTTACTGACTGAGCACAGCCAGGAAAACCCCATTTCTCTAATATCAAAGACTACGAGGACAGAATTTCACACTACTGTAATAATACTTGTCTGAGACCAAGGATGCCTCCACAGGAGAAAGGTCCAGAAAGGAACTGGGTCTGTACAGCTCCTGACACCAGCAAGAGAAAAAGGAGAGGGTGGGAGGTCTGGTCTGATTAGAGTAAAGGATGCAACACATTTGGTGTCAAGTCAGTGTGAAGTTGCTTTGCTCTGAAATGCCAAACCACCTTTGCAAATGCCTAGAACTCAGCCTAGGAGAGAGATTATTCTAAGAACATGATTTGTAGCTAAATGGATTTCTCTCAGACCCATGAAATACTCACATTTGTTTCACATGATTACAAACTTCTAGGACTGCACTCTCCCCATGTGCCACCCCAGTGGCTGCCTCCAGTAGGTTGTTGGCCTTCCCTAGCACCTGGTATCTTGCTGAAACTCATAATTTCCAGCAATCTCAGGGTCCAAACATACTGTTTACCAGCACAGCTTAGAAATTCCTAGATCTGACACACAGACAAATCTGAGAGAAGACATTGCAGGCTGCAAGCAGATACAGGGACTATCCAGGCCTTCTGCAGGACAAGCTGAATGTGAAATGACAGAGAACAGAGCTGTAATACTATAATGTGATGGAAAGTAAAGCATTAGAAGCAGGGTGGCACAACCCCAGGCTGCAGCAAACAAGAACAAGACCAAATACAGTAGCTGTAGACACAGGAACAAAGGAATAAAAACAGCTTACCTTTAGAAGGTCTCCAATAGGCAGGATCTCCAGATACCCTCACCTCCACTGCCAAACCCTAATGAGGTCTGGGAAGGGGTGGATCTTGGCTCCACTCCTCCTGGTCACTCAGATACATTGCATACACCTGAGCTCCCCTGGGTTGGCCCTGCCTTCCCACCAGGTGATCAATCAGTGTTCAGGCCGTGACTCAGCATTTCTGCTACAGGAGCTAAAGGCTTCCTGCCCTAATTTGTCAAGATAGCATAATGAACTGTAAGAGCAGGCCGTCAGGGTCACTTTGCCAGACATTTATCTACAGGCAGAGCTAATGCCAAGTCAGACTGCAGGATTTTGTGTGCCGTGGGGGTCTTCCTAAGCCAAACACCAGCCCCATGCTGCATGTTTCTCCACGGGGCTGCAAGGTTTAGGTGTGTGGCTAAAATTTGCTTTGTAAAAAAAAGCAAGTATAAATATCCTTACTTGTATCATGAACAGGTTGCCTGAGGAGGTTGTGGATGCCCCGTCCCTGGAGGCATTCAAGGCCAGGCAGGCTGTTTGCAGGGGGGTTGAAACTAAATGATCATTATGGTCCTTTTCAACCCAGGCCATTCTATGATTCTGTGATCCCACATCTACAGAAATACAAATATAAAGCAGAAGTGGACTCGGAATCTCTGCAAAGCCGTGACAGATTCAACCACTGAGGCGATTTATGTGGCTGCAAAGCCACAGGCAGTGCTGGATATCCCATTGGAAACAGCTGCAATAAAAGCAGGTATACTCACTGTTTTTATCCCCGGTTTCTGAGTCCATCAGCTGCAGCTCGGTGTCCTCTGGGCTGTGTAACTGAGTTACTCCTCTTCCGTCCTTCAGTGTCCCCTAAGGCAGGTGGAGCTGCCCGGGATGCATCTGTCTGAAGCCTCCTGCCAGCCCACACCAAGCAGCTCCAGCAACGAGCCTCTCCATGGCCGCTGGGATACGAGCTGTGTTTCTCCATCCCTCCAGGGCTCTCCAAAGCACCTGGAAATGTTCGGACTGTTCTGCAAACACATTTGGGAGCTAACATGGCCACGCAGCCCCCTCCCTCACCCTGGGGCAAGGTGTGAGGAGAAAGGACTGGAAACTGTGCCGTGGCTCCTGCTGTCACAGCCCAGCCCTTCATGGCTGCTGCCCTCCCAAAATCACAGAGCACACCTGAAAAACACCCCCACACCAAAAGCATCGTTTTGATATGATGTATTTATATTTACATGGTACATTTTAAAGCAATAGCTACACGGATCATACATATTAGAAACAATAAAAAAAGAAGTTAAGAACTAAAATGTACATCATACACTTGTATATATATTTTTTACACAGAGGTAAAAAGGCTTATAAAAATCAATACAACAGGGTTTTAACTTTTAGTATATAGATACAATAATGATGAGGCTTCAGGCACTTTAATTTGTTAATGTGAGCGATAGCTTGAAAAAACAAACATTTTTCATGACAGAAAACAAAATTTGGTTAATGTTTTGTTACCACAGATACAAAAATAAAATCTGAATAATTTCTCTCGAATGATTGATGTCAGTATTGCAAAGCTGACTGGGAGAACGCTACACACTGTTCAGCAGCAGTGTGGAAAGTAAGGAGGAATATTTACAAAAAACACCCATTTCTATCATTGTGCCCTTACACCACTGCCTTCACAAACCAAATAACACACGCGGCAAAAATCTACAAGTATTACAAAAACCCAACAGGAAAAGAGGGAGGAAGAAGGAGGGAGGAAAAACTGAAGAAAAAAAAAGAAAAAAAAAAGGGATTTTTTTATTATTATTTTTTATTTTTATTTCCAGACATACAGAAAGGCTTAGAGTATGTCTACTTCACTTAAATAAATAGGGGCACTTCAAGACCGGACAAAAAACTGTAAGATCTCTTTTGTAGTGTTGTGCTTTATAGAGAGAAGATCTTACAGATGTTTGTTTACATGAAACAACTCGGAGAACAGAAATAAAAGGAAAAGGTTGTTCCATAAAATTGTTTTCGAGGCTGGCTTGATGTTTACTAGACACCATTGAGAGATTTGTCAACTGCTATTAGGCACAAAATATTTATATTTCATTCAGCAAACCCAGACACATCACCGAGAGTGTAACACTCCATCCCTTTTGCATTATCATTCTTTTTCTTTTCCAACCAAAAGATCCCCAGCAACTGCTACAAATTAAGCCTACCGAACTCTATAGTGTATAAGCACGTTGCATACTTAGTTCATGGTCTATTAAAAAGCTGTGATTAACTCTCAGAGGAACCGTTGGGACATTCCACCAAGAAAAAATGGCAAGCGTTCCTTTTACATTTATTTGGCAAAAAAAAAAAGAAAAAAAAGAAAAAAGAAAAAAAGAAAAAAAATCCTCTCTTTTAAGACTGATGTCAATGTGCAATAGAGGGAGGGAAAGGACATGCGCTCACTGGCAATTTACTGCAGAAAGAAATTATGGCAGGAACAGCAGTGCCAGCTTTGACAAGCCAATCCCTAGCTGCCTCAAAGTATTCAGATTGTACTATGCTAGTTAGAGCTCACTGCGCTAAATCATTTTTTTTTTTAATAAAAATTATTTGGCTATTCCTGTAATATATTAGAAAAATACTCTTTTTTTTCCAGCTAATTACAAGCCTTGTACACAAGACAACATGACATTTAAAAAAAATTAAAGTAATTTTATCCCGCTGTATGCACCTTATGCATCCACTTGATAAATCTGGGTGGTGAACTAGGGAGGGGAAAGTGAGGGAGACGCTTCGGTCTGGCTCCTGCAAAGACTCCTGTGATTAATCCTATACAAAGAATTACACAAATGCTGGTTGCATATGCATTACATTGGACATCTGTAAGCATCCGGAGAATCAGAACCGTAGGTCAGGAAATGAAAGTGGTGGTTAACATCCTGGCTTTTGATTTTCAATACCTGTTTAGACTGCTGAATGTAGTTTCTACCGTGAACGCACGTGTTCTCGTGCTCACGTATTATACAGAAAAAAATAAACAAATACTATTTTCCATATAATCCACCACTTAATGCAGCATTTCCCCAGAATTGCCATGGATTGCAATAGTGCTTTTGACATTGCATTGTTAATAATTCTTTGCATAACAACAATTTTCCTCATCCGGAACTGTAGTGTTTTATACTCAAATCATTACATGGCTGTCTAAAGAAAAAGTTCCCTTCTTTTGGGCAGAACTCTGAAAACAGAGTTTTATTTTTCCAAAGTTATTTAGGGAAAAAAGAAAACAGTAACATGTAAAGTTTCCCTTTCAAGTAGTGGTCTGAAATGATTACAGGTAAGGAGAACTACCAGATTCTCAATGGTTATGTGACTATGGTAACTGAGCTTTGATTTCTGATCACAGAGCTTTAAGAACAGAGAAATAATTTAAGATGTTTGCTGAAGGAAATGACGATGGACTCTAGAAGAGAAACTGCAGCTTACATGGCTATTTTGGCTTTGGAAAACAGAACAAAAAAAAAAACAAAACAAAAGAAAACCAGTGACAGAAATACTGTGTTGTGGTACAAGTTTGTTACTAGCACACCTTCCATACACACAATAACTTGACAGCAAGTTAAAATATCTTCCAAGTGAGATCTCGTTCACTACACCACCCCGCTTAGAGAAATGCCAAAACTTGCTGACACACTGATGGTACCGTGTGAGCAGAGGCAAGACGGACACAACCTGGAGATGTTCTACAATCCACCACCATTTAAAGCAGTTCTTAAACTCATTTTAACTGAAAAAATAATATAAACATGTACAAGACAGTCTGTTTGATTACAGATTAATAATACAAAAGTCTATGCTGTACGTTAGTTAGTTAGAACACTTGATGAGCAAATCAATGCAGTGTGAGCCCCAGACGATCAAACGTAAAATGATCCAAACTGGTGGTTTCTGGATGCTGCTGGGCACAGTGGCTGCATCAAAAAAAGTGATCTCAATGCTCCAAAACCAATGTGTTCCCCGAACTACAGGAAAAACATAACACACCGAACTCATTTGTAGTCATCCAGCAGCTTTGTGTTTTCCACCACAGCACCTGCACATGACCCCACAGTGGTAACAAGCCCGAAGCGGCAAGTAACAGCACATACATGGAGCAATGAAAGACAAGGCGATAAGGGCCATCCACCGGAGGCAAAACATTTCATCACTGGTGTCACACGAACAAGGATCTGTAAAGTCTCCTTCTGGATCGGACATACAGTGATAGAGCATAGTGTCTGCACACCACATACAGCTCACTCGATGGATGCAAGTCTTGATGCGGTCAGGAGCATCCTGGCATTGACCCCGTTTGTTCTCCTCATGGTTAAACATGTCCCTGCAGTACACGCACCGTGACCTCTCACCATCTTCCTTCCGTCTGGGCTTGAATTTGACAGGTTGAGTCTTTATCACAGCACCCTTGATATCTTCACCCAGGTCAAAGTCTGAGTTGTCTACGTAAGGATAAGTGTACTCATGTTTTGAGGACTCGCTTTTGGCAAAACGTACGTAGGAGTCCACGTCATCAGGATCGAAGTTCTTTCCTCGTGCTGGGGCATGGCGATAGTCCTCATATCCAGTCATCCAAATCTTTTCCCGAGGATTGATGCGTACTATTTCCTCATCATCATCTGGAAAGTTGACGTGTCGGTAGGATCGTGGTACTGACTGTAGAAGTAGGGATGGAGATAAAGAGGGAGAAAAGATTAACAAGCTGTATGCACGAAGAATCACAGAATTATGGAACGGCTTGGTTGGAAGGGACCTTAAAGATCATCTAGTTCCAACCAACCTGTGAGGGTAGGGCTGCCCCTCACCAGCTCAGGCTGCTCAAGGCCCCATCCAACCTGGCCTCGAACACCTCCAGGGATCTGGGGGCATCCACAGCTTTTCTGGGCAATATGTGCCAGCACCTCACCATCCTCTGACAAAAAGATCTTCCCTTATTTAAATCTCCCTTTTTTATGTTTAAAATGATTCCCTCTTGTCCTATCACTATCAGACCATGTAAAAAGTCATTCTCTCTCCTGATTATGAGCTCCTTTTAGATACTGGAAAGACTTAAGGTTTTAATATCAGTGTAAACATATATTTATTTTAATAATTAGATGCCACTTAAAACTAAAGCTGGCAGAGGAGGAGAAAAGAGTGAGGATTTTCTGAGTGTTTTTGGTGGTAGGGGGAACCATATGCTGTGAGGACTTATCTAACTATGATTGAGACAGCTCCTTGTGTCCTAACAGTGAGAAGTGCCTTACTTGTTCTAGATGGTAGCGGTCAGAGCTGTAATGGTCATGAAGGTGCCCACGAGTGCAAATTCTTTGATTTTCGCAGGATGCTGGAGAAGCCAGAGTTCGCACAGGCTGTTCCCTTTTCTGAGAGGAGTTGGAGGAGCTATCTGTTGCATTCTGTTAGAAATGGAAAGGGGAAAAAGCTTGTAATACATCCAATTGTTACAGCACGCAGTCTTAAAAGAGATGTTTTGCTACTCACTGACTTCGCACACACCTGCGATATTGGCAACACCTGACGGCAGGCAGCTTCCATAGGTTTCACATAAAACTCCTGAAAGAAGCAGGTTTGTTGCCAGGCCATAAAACGTGTTGCCACACACATGGAAAAATTAAGTATACCACAGCCCACCAGTGACATATTCACTAACACCACTCATACGCAGTTGGCACATTACTTGTTGTACTAGGCACTGCACGGTGGTGAATGTTCACACTGGAAGCTACCTCTGAAGCACATATTTAAACTCCTTCAAATGATGCTGTCATTTATGTCCTGATGTGCACTCAGGACTGCAGAAATTCTGTGTTTTTTTAAGCCTTCAGGAGTACTGTTAAGTCAAAAAACTTCTTTCAGCATTCTTCTCCAAGCAGTGAATTCCACTTCACTGCAGGCAACTTAAATACTCAGCTTTCCATTGAAAGTTTTAGGGCTTTTCTTCTCCTTTTGTCACTAATCTTTAATGTACAATGAACGTTACTTGTATTTTTATACATTGCTCACCTCACTATTCTCACTTTCTTTAGGTTTGTTAATTGCACTGCTCCACAGCAATGATTATGAAAGGATGAAACACCTTGTAGTAACATGGTGTTGCCAATACATGCAGCTTCTTAACATATTTATTTATCTTCCTGCAGAAATGCACAGCAGGATAGCCCAGTCTTAGCCATTCCCTCTTCACAGCCCTTCCTTCCCATCAACATCTGCCTCTGACACTCAGCAAGATAAATAGTGAACAAAACAGGAGGTATTGCTTTTGGACACAACCTTTGTATTTTCCCTCCAATATCCAGACGTTCAGGCCCATTAATTCCTTTCACTGATTGTTTAGACTTTTTCACATTGCCACAAATATCAAAGGACAGCTGTTAAATGAACATCCCCTTGATGGCTCCTTTTGCCCATGGGTACAACTGACAGAAAAGCTGTAACGTTACATGTTCCAAAAATACTGGTGCCACAAACAAAGAAAAAATCTCCAACCCAATTCAACTAGCAACCTATGCTGCAGCTAAGGCAAGCCCAACACAGAGGTTTCCATTTGCCACAACATTAGGTGGAGACACAAACTCAACAGGGGAAGGTGGTTGTATCAACAATGGCAGAAGACTGGTTTTTCCTGAAAAACCTTCTCTCTTGGTCAAGAATGCACTCTCTAAATATTATTTTTCAATGAATCGTACTAAACACGTTCCTTAATCCAAGAAGACAAGAACAGTCACTGTAGCTATTTGTTTATTCTCAAAACAACGCTTTGCAAGACGCTGCCCAAACGTGAACACACCTTAAAGCATTACAACACTAAATATTAGTCGACCCACTCTGACTCGTATAGCACTAAACTGCCACCTTATTTTGTTGAAAGCAAATACACAGATCTGTTTGCAGTGTGATGTGAAGTCAGGCTGCGTTACCTGAGAAGTAACACAAGCAGGATGAGTTTTGAATGGCTGACCCACCCTTTGTGAACCTACTTTTAATTCATGTGAGATCGTTGCGTTTTTCTTTTCCCAATTATTTTAAAATCAAGTATTTAGAATCAGAACAAACCTTAAGTTATACTAGTAACACCTATAAAGTGCAACTGCACTGGTGGTTTTTTTTTTTTTAATGGTTTCATCATCCCAGTCATCATCTCTTACTAGATGCAGGCACTTCACACCTGGGGTTTAAGCTAAGTTTTGTTCCTGTAACTTCAAGCCTTACTACATCTAGCACTTTCTGGGGACACTTCAAGACAAAATTAGCAGCTTCTACAAGCAAGTTCTTCAAAATAATATCAAGCTTCCAGGCTATTTCGAAAACCTTTGAAGAGTTAGGATTTAGTTACAACAGCTCCCTCCTTACAAGTACTTTTCTGCAGCACTGCATGTGGTGCAGACCTGGATGCAGAGCTTCAATTTCAGCTTCTTAGAACAGAAGGGCAAACACCCTGTATTGCAGGCAGTTTTGTAGCATGCTCTCAAAGTTAAACTTTGACTGTCGTGAGCCAAAAAGGAAGAAGGATTTAGCATGGTGCCGTGCCAGCAGGACCTTTCACCTTCAGTGGAAACGCAGCTGAGCCCTGCTGGGACAAGCCTTCGTGGGTATGCTCCAACTACATTGTGGGTGCTCATGGTGAACAGAAAGAAGCCTGGGAAACTCACTCATCTGGAGTAGGTGGCATACATTGGCCTTTAACATTCTTGCTCTGCTAGATGGAAAGAAGTCCCGAACTGAATATAACTGCTGGATAATCTTAGTGGGACAGCTGGGGGCTATAACCAGCCTCCACAGTGTGCTGTTTGCTGAATGCACGGCTCCACAAGGAAAGCCATATTTCTGCAAGAGGTAATTGGAAGAAAGGCTGGAGCGATTTTTATCGTGCTGGATCCTTATCTACCCTTTGCTCCACGCCTTCATCTCTTTTAGAGCCAGCAGGGCAACTGAGCCTCTCCTTCACATGTGTCAACATGGCTACAAAACCTGTTTGCAGCATACCAAAGAGGCTGCGGCTCAGGCTTCTGCTTTAACCATATTAAAAATTGCTTCATTTCCACATTCAGTGTCCTCAGATTTGAGGGGCAGTGTGCCAATGCAAGCACTTGCTCTGAGCACCAAGAAAGGCAGAAAGTAAGATATCCAAGTCTAGTTCTCTGCTCACTCTTCCATACAAAAGTTTGCGCTGCCTCCAGGTTGACAAGGCTCAAGGCAACTGGTTGCAGGGTTGCAGCATGATGATAAAACCTTCTCGTGACAGTGAAGTTATTGAGAGGAGTAAAAATGAAAGCTGACCCTGAAAACTTGCTTAAGAATCTTATAACGCTAAAGGACCAGATGTTAAACAACAACAACTACAAACTCTAATTACCACTAATATGCAATCTGATGGGAACATCTTGATCTGCCATGTACAACGATGTACTCTAAAATAACTATCGCTGCTGAGAAAAGAGGTCTCAGGGTTAAAACAAGCAGCTCCATGACAGAGAACTCATCAGCAGATTAAAAAAAATACAAGCACCAGCACTGAAATCTTCATAAGGTTATTTCCACCATGGCAAAGCTCCCATGGAATAATCAGGACAATCAGAGACATGGTTTCTGAATACTGGCTAACTAGAGAGGTTGGCTCTCTCCACCCTGGAAAAAGAGATAATGGAAGGAGATGTGAAGATGGGAAGGAAGAAGTCTATAGAATCATGAGTCCCATGTGGAAGGGGAGTTGGAAGTGATTATTGTTCTCGTATCCTTTGGAAGAGAACACAAGCCACTCACTGGAATGTGCTCAGATAAGGTTCAAACAAAGCAAGGACTTGAGATAAATCCCATAATGTGGTTCAAGAAGCCATACAGAAGCTCTCAAAAGAAAGTAAGAGACCAAGAATCAAAGGTATGATGCTCAAGCCCGGAAAGCTGTGGTGCTCTCTTTACTACTCAACTGCAACTGAATCTGAACTTGATGACTGTTGAAAGACAGACTCAACCTCAAGGGAAAGAACTTCACCCGTGATGGAAGCAGAAAACAATTCCCATCCCACACAACACGACTGTGTTGGCTAGGATTTTCTGCTACCACCACAGCAGTGAAAATTTTGGGGAAGATGACAAAGGGGAAGACATCAGAGGTTTACTGCAGGTCACCCAAATATAACACTCTTGCTTACAGGAATAAATCTAGAAAGCACACAGTCTCTAGAGTCAGGCTATTTCACTGATGGAAAAGCATGTCCAAACCATTGGTCTCTAAGACAAACACTGTCTTCCTCTAAAGCCTGTTGAAACCAATCTGGCTCCACTGTTTTTTGAGAGAGAGAGAAAAAACTATTGAAAACATGCCCAGTAGTCACAGAAGAGGAATGAACCCAAACCTAAAGCAGTTGGAACAGCGAGTCCACAAAGAAACGCCGTTTCAACATGCCCTCGATGCTCAATTAGCAAATTCTGTGCGGCACATACTGGAGTTTTGTGATTGCTATGGCGGCTGCAAAGTCTTGTGGTTTTGCTGCTCGGATAACAAAATCATTAATCATGGCCATAATAGTAATTTTATAAAACCCACACTACACATTTCCTTTTGCAAGTGAGCTGAACGTATCTGAGCGAGCACACGTACTGCATGTGTGATACGGCTGCTTTGAGGAAAAAAACACTGCATTTCTATATGCAAATGGTTGTACTGTAATCATTAAAATGAAAGAAAAAAGTGTCCCTGCTGCCTGTTTCCCTCTCACAATTTAAGAAGTGACTCATTCAATTTAAAAAACCTAGTCATTAGTGCAGAAGATTATGTTAATAATTTACTGCAGTTTACTTCTCATTTAAATGGATTTGTTACACAAGAACAGCCAGCTAATCAGGTGCCTAAGTAATATTCTGAGATAAGTATCGATCATAAAAAATGATGAGAAATAAAAAGAAGCTTTCCCCTTTCCCAGCTACTTATCTGGATGGATTACCTTGCCTCCAAGGGCTTCACGGAACAGTTTCGCTTCATACAGTGCAATATCCAGGGTGACCACGAAAAAGAATGGTTCATCTCCAAATTATGAAGCAGCTCGTCAGAAATCAGTTGCCTGAGGGAATTTATGGGAGCTGCTGCTTGCAACTTCCACAAATGCTCTCAGCCAGTTGCAGCAAGTTTGCTGTCAAGAATAATTGCTGGTCAAACAAGACGGTTGGTTCTTTCACTAGGATTTTTACAGCTACATGAGATGGAAAAGGTGATGGGGAATAGAAACATCACAATGTTGAACATGTCGTTTTGCAAGTAATGGCTCTGAACTGTGCCAGCTTGGCCTTTCTAAAGCACGAGTTGTCTGTGAGCTAACCTGTTCTCTATTGCACACGCTGCTCTGCAGCAGGTCTGCTTGCTGAATCATCCCCACCTGAAGGGTTCTCAATGCAGCCCACG